CCCCCGGCAGGTTATGCGTGTCCCTCCCACGGTCCATTTTCCACCCCTTGTATCCGAAGGATAAATAAAGGTGATGGGAGAATCGCCATTTATAAAGGAGCCCTGTAATTATACGTACCATTGAAATCAACCCCTAAAGGATTCATCTACTAATATACATAATGTAATCGCGTAAAGGGTGGCCTGCTTAATAAAATACGTTGGACCCTTCGTCAGAACAGACATCACCTATGCTCCTTGTGTATCTCATTGGGAATGTCTGCGCGTCTGCGCGTTCGGTTCTTCATGACGACGAACCTTTCGAGCCGAGTCAAATGTCTTCTTTCTGTTTCAGGTAGGTCAAGTAGGAAAGTCTAGTTGAGTAGTTGAGAAAAAGCGTCGTAGGGCCACGGCTTTGCTGTGACAGGATGATGATGGCAAACCTGCCCCCCGTTATGCTGCCGACTCTTCACGACTACGGGATGCTAGCGCCCACTCTTGGCATTAAGGTGAGTTCACGGGACGCAGAGAAGAGCTAAACGCACGATGCGACAACATATATATATATATATATATATATCGACGGTGCCACGAAATGAATTTATCAATAACGGTGTACATATGGTACCCACGCGCACACAAATATATATATATATACATGTTGTACGGGGCTTCTTGTACGTTTACATCAAATTTATCAGAGTGAACCACCCCCATGTTCACCCCCTCCCCACCACCCCTAAGGGCCCGATAAAATTACTCGCGCTTCACGGAAGTCAAACAGAAACGTTATTCCCATCTTTTCATTACTTTTTCTTTGCTAGTTCCCGTTTTTCCCTGAAAGGAGAAAAGTCCTGGAGGGTCTCTGTGAGATAGGGATTGGCCAGAAAGGGGCCGGGGAGAGGGATGGGGGGGGGTAAGTACGAGCGAACACGAAGAGGAAATATAGAGATTGCATTTAATTCATTGATTAAAGACGTCGACAGCCCCCTGTCCTCTTATACTTCGTTTCCCCCCGCATCCTCTATTATAGATATCTCACCCTCCTCACCCATGAGGACACTTTTCGCGCGAATATTCATCGTGGCTGATTACGCGACATGTGAACATCCTCCTAAGGCCGTACCGTGCTCCTGTCCCACACGGAGTCTTTCCATTCGTAAATCCTATTAGCACGGTTGGCCGTATCGTTTTCATGGTACTTATATTTATAAGTGGGTCTGCGACGATAAGTCTAATAAGGGTGGGTGGGTGGTGGGGAGGGGGACGGGTACGTGAAATCGAGCGACCACCAGCATTAGAAGCTAGTCGGTAACTGGGCTGTACTAAAAATCAATGCCGTGAGCAGTAAAGTGCCCCTCTCCCCTCCCACCCGCCCTTCGCGTGTGGTCGTGTCTCGGTGGGCCATTTTTTTTACTCCGTGGTGAACTGTTTTTTTTTTAACCTCCCCTCCGGCGCCCCTCCCCCCCCTCTTCACCACCCTCATATATCGGTCTATCGTTAATCAATACAATAGCGTAAATAACTGCGTATGTGTATTTATACGTAAGCCCCTCCGACCCCCCTCCGTCCAATCCTCCACGTACACAGCGTATAACTGGCTATACCGTCGTCGATAAATAGTGTGATGTGCACAGTGTGCAAATCGTGGGACGCATCAATCTTTCGCGAATTCACGAAAAAAAAGAAAAAGGTCGTTCCTTCTCTCTCGTGCATATCGCGACCGGTGGCCGGCTGGCCGAATGCCAATGAACTGGTTGAAATGCGCTTGAAGCAGGGTCCGATCTGTCCCTGGGTCTGCTGGGGAGAAGAGTGTCATCCCTCCGTGAGTGAGCGAGGAAGTGGCGTCCCCTCTGGTTTTCATCCCTTAACCGTGATGCTGTCGGAACTCCCTGTACTCACTGGCGCCCTGACGATGACCACCTCCTTCGGCTCTCTGGCTCCTGCTCCGCTGATAAAAAATACCGATACATTCCCTGCTCGTGGGATTTTTTTTCGTTCACCCCCCATTCTCCACCCTCGCGAGGGGGCGAGAGAGAGTAAGGCGTTAGCCAATCGCCTTCGAGTTCAATTTCAACCCCGGCCGTCCCTCGGGGTCGCTCGCGCCGTTCGTGAGATATTAATTAAAATTCCTCAGTAAACACTCCACGGGTCTACAACACCCCCGATTGGTTGTCTCTTAACGTGGATCCATGTCTGATGGGTCTTCGTTTTAAATGTTTGGCCCCCCGTCACGCTCTTGGGGTAACATATTTTTTCACCCTCTACCCTTTCAGTTTCCTTCACACCCCTCTTCGTCCTCTTCTATCTCCACCCCCCTCCCGGCGCTCTTCGTCTCTTGGCTCTCAGGTAGTAGCAAAGTTCTGGTCGATGCCCGTGAGACCAGCGTCGAACGATCACGGTGGGATTGCGATCAGGGGTGG